GCCCAACCTTGATATGTGCCGATCGCACAGGAGACAGGGGTTCTGGCCCCCCGGTAATGGACCAGTGTTGATGAAGAGGGTGTAAGCGATGTAAATAATAAACGGCTAAATCGCTAACCTTTGGGTTTCAGATTTGCAAACATGGCTGGTAATGTTTGAGCGCAGCCATGATCATATAGAGAGAAAGAGAGCGAGCCGAAAGAGGAAGTGGATGACGGTTAGACGGCCGCGCGCCTCCGGGTCTTAGCGCCGACTAGCGCACTACGGGCCGAACAAACCTGTCTATGGAACAAACCAGCATTGACCCACAATGCCTTTGTGGAAAAGAAGTGTTCAGTTGTATCCTCCTGGGACCCAGACTTTTGTCCACTGTAGTGGACATTATATTTTAGTGAATTTCTCTGACACCATACATGATGTCAAAATTTTACATCCAGGGCTTTTCAGAGACACTAATGTTTGGAGGTTTCACCATGACAACAACTTCTTGGTCTTTAAACATGACTGACATTAAATTTAGTCGTCGAATTTAGCACTCTTGTGGAAATATAATAATATTTTGTATAATTTAAATCTGACTTATTTTCAAATTGTTTGTCATAAATCACCATCTCATGACAATGTAATGTGATTTCTAATCAAAATATGACTTTCTGTTACGAAACATGGCATTGATTTTATACATGTCTACTGTAGAGACACTAGGACTTAAATCATGTTTATCAGGCATTTTGGGAGACGAGTGAACAGGGAAATACATTACATATCAATATTCCTTTGAAATATTAGATATTATTATGAAAATGTTGTCAATTACTGCCATTATTACAGTTCTTTTATATTACATCCTTTACCCACATATTGTATAAAGTAAAATGGTATATCCATTTTTATATCCAATTCATTCCATTATATCTTTCATAATGAGAATCATATACAAAGTTTGGTTAAATAAATCCTGGAACCTAAAATTTATTTGGTGGATGAAAAAAAATCCCATTGTTTTTGCCTATACATTTGATTTAATTTATTTTTTATTTTTGAAACAACTGAGTCCTGGTGTCACTACAGAGGACATCTTTTCATCATTAGTTTATTATGCTCTAATCAAGGTCTCAGGAGGATATTAAATGTGTGTGTGTAGTGCACTTCAAATCTTAACAGTATATTTTGTTTTAAAAAACATACTTAAGTTGCAGATAATAAATGTAAAAATATTGTTAAAAAAAAAAGTAAATCATTGTTTTAATATTTTTGCTGTGCTTCAAAGAAGTACACTTATTTAGCTTTTTTTTTTACATGTTATTTGATATTACATTTGAAGTAAATAAATGTTAAATGTATTAATTTGCAACTTCATCATTCATTACAACTATGTAATTAAAAATATATTTAAAGGCATGACACACAAGTTTCAATAGAAATGACATTTATTTTAGTTTACCATAAATGCTTATCAGTATTCAGCACACTTTAACTATATAAAATACAATAGAAGTAATTATGAAATGACATATAAAGATGAACTTTCTTAAATGGGTCAAATAAGGACTAATTGCATTTAATATAAATGTAAACTATAATATATTTCCATAATTGCATTATAATACATTTCCATAATTGCAAGGACTAATTGCATTTAATATAAATTTAAACTATTATACATTTCCATAATTGCAATAAACATGCAATTAAAATACACACCGTTTACATCCATAATACTGATAAGTAACCTTATAGAAGTTACACCTTTTAACTGTTCAAAATATTTAACAGCTAACCAATTTTATGCCATATGAATATATATATATATATATATATGTACAGTCATGGTCAGAATTGATGGCACCCCTGGTAAATATGATCAAAACTGGCTGTAAAAAAATAAATCTGCATTGTTTATCCTTTGGATCTTTCATTCAAAAAAGTGGCAAAATTCTGACCTTTCATTGAAGTAAAAGAATTGAAAGTGGGGGGGGGGGGGGGGGGGGGGAATCACATGAAATCAATGTTTTTCTCCAAAACACGTTGGCCACAATTATTGGCACCCTTTTATTAAATACTTTTTGCAACCTCCTTTTGACAAGATACCAGCTCTGAGTTTTCTCCTATAATGCCTGATGAGTTTGGAGAACAACTGACCTGAGATCAGAGACCATTCCTCCATACAGAATCTCTCCAGGTCCTTCAGATTCCCAGATCCATGTTGGCGCTTCTTCTCTTCAGTTCACTCCACTCATCAGGTCAGGGAACTGGGACGGTCATGGCAGAAGCTTCATTTTGTGCTTCGTAACACATTTTTGTGTTGATTTTGATGTTTGTTTTGGACCGTTGTCCTGATGGAAGATCCAACCACGGCCCATTATAAGATTTCTAGCAGAAGGCGTCAGGTTTTGATTTTTTATCTGTTGATATTGGATAGAATCCGCAATGCCATGTATCTGAACAAGAAGTCCAGGACCTCCAGCAGAAAAATAGGTCCACAACATTAAAGATCCAACGCTATATTAAATTGTACACATGGGGTACTTTTCATCCTTGTGTGCACCAAACCCATCTAGTGTGTTTGCTGGCAAAAAGCTCTTTTTTTAGGTTCATCTGACCACAGAACCCGGTGCCATTTGAAGATCCAGCCGTGTCTGACAACTGAATATGCTGGAGTTTGTTTTTGGATGAGCGAGGAAGATTTTTCTTGAAACCCTCCCAAACAACATGTGGTGATGTAGGGGTTGTTTGAAATATTTTTTTAGGCTTTCTGACCCCCAAGACTCAACTAATCTCTGCAATTCTCCATCTGTGATCGTTGGAGAGTCTTTGGCCACTCAAACTTTCCTCCGCACTGTCCATTAAGACAATATACGTCCTCTTCCTGGCAGATTCCTAACATCTTTAGTTGATTTGAACTTCTTAGTTATTGCCCTGATGGTAAAAATGGTGATTTTCAATTCTTTAGCTATTTTCTTACAGGCACTTTCTATTTTGTAATGGTCAACAATTTTTTTTATGGACATCAGAACTATATTCTTTGGTTTAAAAAAAATGTAGGGGTGCCAATAATTGTGGCCAACGTGTTTTGGAGAAAAACATTGATTTCATAATGTTGAATTGTGTCCCCCCCCCCCCCCCCCACTTTCAATTATTTTACTTCAATGAAAGGTTAGAATTTTGCCAATTTTTTTAATGAAAGATCAAAAGGATAAACAATGCAGATTTATTTTTTACAGCCAGTTTTGGTCATATTTACCAGGGGTGCCATTAATTCTGACCACAACTGTATATACTATTGCCTGGTTTCACAGACAAGGCTTAAAGGGTTAGTTCACCCAAAAATGAAAATTATGTCAGTAATTACTCGTCCTCATGTTGTTCCAACCCCGTAAGATTTTCGTTCATCTTCGGAACACAAATTAAGATATGTTTGATGAAATCTGAGAGCTGTCTCAGTCCTCCATAGGCTTCTATTGTAATTGAAACTTGCCGGCCCAGAAAGTTAGTAAAAACATTGTTAAAATAGGGGGGGTGGGTGGGGGGGGGGGGGGGGGGGGGGGGACGACTTTATTCAACTATTAAATTCAACTATTAATTTTCTTCTGTGTGGGCCTCTGAGTGAGTTCACGTAGTGTAACAGCGCAGCGCTTCTGGGTTGTACGTCAGAACATAGGCTAAAAAAAAAATCACTAATCACTAAATTATCACAAAAAAAATAATTTGTGTTTTGGCCATTCATTTACACGACAACAGCGTTTTGGGGCCCTGGAAACACAAACTTTTGAAAATGGGTTTCAAAGTGCAAGTTTTTATAAAACGTTACCGTTATCGTCAGGCGGATCATGCGTATTACGCGTTCAGTGTATAGTGTTTCTTTACAAAGTGACATCGCCATCTACTGGCCTGGCATGAATAATAATCCAACGATTGTAATCGTTTTCGCGGATCCGCGTGAACGGGATCATTTTGACAATGTTGTCGCCTGTACGTGAAAAACGCAAAGGAAAAGCTTTTCCGTTGTTTTGTATATCATTGTCGTGTAAAATTCTCACTATCCATTTTAATAAAACATACCCATTTTGTAAATACCCAAACAGCATGATACTGTCTATAAGTGGCCAAGTGGGACAGACGTCAAGGATTACGAGTAGAGCGCAGAGCGGAACGGAAAGCGTCCGGCTTTAGGACCCAGAGCGCGCTGATCGTCACTCAGGAGCCACTGGAGAGGAATGGATGCGCAGCCAGAATGCGGCGTTAGGAAATGATGGTCCGCTACTACGGAGAGGGAGAGCCGAGGCCATGTCATTCATCCGATAAGACATACAAAATATATAAAATCACTCTATTTATTCACAAAATCTCACTTTTACATAGGTGGCCACATTTCTATTTAATTAACATGGTAGAAAATTATGCACAGGCAGGCTACATCCTCATAAGCGGCTCGTGTGAAGAAGTATCCGGATGCAGTCATTGGGCGAGCGAGTGCATTGTTATGAACCTGTTATTATAACACCTCCTTCGTGACCTCACGGCGTAATGTTGTAAAAAAAAAAAAAAGAAAAAAAAGGCGAGTTGCGAATGATTATGAAGTACGCCACAAATTTGGACCCCCTGGAACTTCACTAGCTATTATGTTTTATCACTATTATGCATTTGAACAAAGTGACTTGAATCCAGGTTGCCTGACGGGGGTCTATAACTGACTATTTTCAAATCCTGTATTTTCAAAGGGCATCTAAACTAGTCAATATGCTTTAGGGCACAAATATGTACTTTTACACATTTTGTAAAACCGCTAACTAATTACATTTTTGGTAATTAACCCAGAAATGAAAAAGTCATCATTTACTCATCCTCATGTCATAGCAATCCTGACCTTCTGTGAACAAAAAAATAAAATATTCCGACATTTTTTCCTAAATTCTATTGCGTTCCTCAAGTTTGAAATATGAGTTCCTTTTTTTTGGTTAAAGTATCCATTTAACAGTTTAGCAGACAAAATGAAAAGGTGAGCATTGAGCAGTTTATTAGAAATACGTAGACAAAAATTGAAAGCTTTTTTTCTTTTGAAAACAAGAAATGTGCACAAAACAGTCCCAATTTTTTGATAGTGCAAACTTATTTGGTCGTTTTGTTTTAGACTTGATCTGAAACATACAATACCTTTCTGTTTCCCAGTAAAGACATCATACTGCAGTCATAATATTAAAGACATTAACAGTCCAATACCAAATACAGTGCCAATATAGACTTCGGGAAACTGGATCATTTCAGAGGGAGTCAGCAGAAAATATTAACCACCAACAAATCTGGTACTACGTCAAGAGACATGAGGGCTAATGTTAGGAGATGACTGAAGTATGTTAGGGAGGTGGGTCATGTCTAATAACTGCTACTTACAGTTCTTACGCTTTAATCACAAGGTCGTCCACTATACAGATTTTACAAGACACAAACTACCTTCACCTCTGCAAAGTTTGTCACTTTTCATTTTAATTTCAATGCCTCACAATAAAAAGAAACTTTCCATTACATCTATTGCTTATCAGTTGAAAAAATATGAATACAGTGCAGTATTTCCAAACAGTTGAAGTATACATCATGTTTTAGTACAGATTAAAAGAAAACAAAACAAAAAAGCCAGGACTGCTCATAAGGAGAGGGACGACGAAGCTCTGTACAACAATATGCATATAAACTCCCAACAGAGGGTGAAGTCGATCTTCTGGAGTGCAGCCACGGGGTGGACAGAGGTGATGCTTACGAATCCACTGATCTCAATCAATTCAGCTTTGCTCTCTTTCAGATCATGTACCATTTAGATGACAGCTCTTTTCATTCGCATGTCATCCCCCTCCTCCTCTGTCTGTCCACAATGTGCCAGCCGCTTATTCCAGATCTGGCATTTCTGGGGGGGAAAACAGACATGTTGAAGGAAAAGAACAAAATTACGTCACAGGGTCAGTGCGTGGACCGTCGGGGAATGTACTTTGGGACACTTTGGGCTTTAGTCTCATTTTGTTCCAACTTTTAAGTTTCTTCTTTAAATGTAACGTCTGCTCTTGCAGTTACAATGAATGTGGACTGAAGTTCACACTTTCACTAGGAACTCACCAGGACATTCTCAATGACTCAAATTCACCTTTCACATTCAATGGATGAACGTCATACAAGTTTGGAACGGCAAGAAGGGAGATTTCTGTTCTCACATGTCAAGCAAGTACAGTTGAGCTTCTGTTTTCTATATTAGATATGCTCAATGTATGTGCGTTGATCAGTGATCTATTCATAATCATATTAATCAATGTTTCATTATATAAGACTTGGATTAAACAACTCGATTCATTTGGATTATGTTGCTGTCTTTATGTACATTTTAAAGCTTGAAAGTGTTGATTAAATTTAGATGACTTAATAAAATTAAGAGTATATCTAAAACAGTAAAAAAGTAAATGACGTAAATCATGACTTTCGGGTGAACTACCCCTTTTTAAAAGAGTAATGAAGTGAAAGTATAAGCTAGGAAAAGAGGAAAACTTACTTTCATCATCACTATCAGCTGATTCCTGAAAAGAAAACAATCAACAGTTAAAAGTGTGTTGAGAACTCTGTGTTCTGTCCCGTCCCGTTGTGCTCCACGCCCTCAAGAACCGCATCTGACTGGATCATGTGACCCGCCCTAAATGAGCCTAATTATACAAGGCTTCCTTGAGGCTGACTAGTTGGATAATCATTTAGAAAACCTCAACTAGTCAATTACAAATAAGTGGTTTTGCACATTCCTAGTTTAAGCTGATCCCTAAAGATCCCATAATTTATTTGTCCTCAAGCCATCCTAGGTGTATATGACTTCTTCTCTCAGCTGAACACAATTGGAGATATAAAACATATCCTGACTCTTCCAAGCTTTATAATGTGAGTGAAAAGTAACTGAGATTTTGCAGCTCCAAAAAGCGCATCAAAAGTAATCCATACGGCTTTCTGAAGCAAAGTCATAAGTTTCTGTATCCATATTTAAAACATTTTTGTAAACTATAATCACTGGCTTCCGGTAAAGGCTGTACGTGAGTCTAGTTCCGGCGGAAGAGTGACCTCTGACCCGACGCATGGCGTAGGATGTAGGATTAGCGTAAGCTCAGGTGAGAGTCGACGCCTCTCGTGGTTCAAACAAATAGAGCAGGGCAACAAACTCAAGCTCCTCTTCTCTTATATCGTAATCCTCCGGCATTGGTCTTTAAAACTTCTCGGTTTAGACTTCTAAATCGTGAACGGCGTTTTGTTTTGCTCTCTCCTCTGCGCTTCGCCATTCATTAATTCTCACCTAAGCTTACACTACACCTACGTCGGGTCAGAGGTCACCATTCGCCAGTGATTATAGTTTATAAAGTTTTAAATATATATACAAAAAACCAATCGCTTCGCTTGTGAAGCTTGGGTTTAATGTACCCATTGGATTCGTATGGATCACTTTTATTTTATTTTTGGAGCTTCAGAATCTCGGGCTCTAATCAATGCCAATGACAAAGCTGGGAAGAGCCAGGATATTATTTAATATAACTCAGATTGTGTTCGGCTGTAAAGAAGAAAGTCATACACCTAGGATGGCCTTGAGGGTGAGTAAATTATGGGATCATTTTCGGGTGAAATATCCCTTTAAAGCAGGGGTCAAACAACTTTTTTGGTTAGTTTATCTCCAACCAGGTCCAACACACCTGCTTGAAAGTTTCTAGTATGCGCCTGAGACCTTGATTAGCTGGTTCAGGTGTGTTTAACTGGGGTTGGAGATAAACTCTGCAAGACAGCGCCCCTTCAGGACCGAGATTGGTGACCCCTGCTTTAAAGGGATACTTCACTGTAAAGTGTCATCATTCACTCACCTAACATCGTTCCAAACCTCTATGACTTTTTCTTCAGTGGAACACTAAAGATATTTTGAAGAATGTTTTTGCCCCTACTATGAAAGTCAATGGGATACAACACAACAATGGACCCATTTGTATGGACAAAATATATTTTATGTCAGAAGAACGGAAGTCATACAGGTTTGGGATGACACGAGGGTGAGTGAATACTTTAGGGGAACTATCCCATTTACTAAACTATTACACATATGCAGAAACTATTAAATCTTACCTCATCTGCTCCATCTAGATCAGGTAAATCATCCTCTCCTCCCATGTTGCCCATCATCTAAAACCAACAAATCATGTCAGAACAGCACATTAATTAGACACATTCCTCACACAAGTCCCATACTAATAGGGAATACTGCTGGGAAGGTGAATAGCTATTTTTGAACTAAAAAGAACTAACCTCTGAAAAGCGATCATAGTTGGCCACATCTTCCTCTGAATCATCCTCCCAGTCTTTCCAGTTGTTGAAGTCAACACTAAGCCAGTTGACCTGTAGACAAAAATTAAGTTTTATCTTAACCAAGTCAACACTAAGTATTGCTGCACCGATATTAAAGGATGATACCATTAACTAATATTTTTTCCACAACAGGTTATCTGATACATTAAAGGTTAACTAGATTTAACAATTTACTAGATTGACTGCCAAACAACTTTGTCTACAATTTAATTTTAATACTTTACACAAACACTGTGCTCTTGTGCTACAAATCCCAGTGCTCAGGTACATCCTTCAAACCAGATGTGCTATTATTCTGTATTTTTGAGGCATAATTGAGGCTTGGGGCAAACAAAACACAAGTACATGACTGACATCTTTAAAGTGCCCCTATTATACTTTTTACAGCAGACTGGGTCATCCGACCAATCAGAACAGAGGAAGCTGCAGAAAGGAGGGGTTTAGAGAGACTGAATCTTTGAACCGTTTCAGACACTATGAGAAGAGAGGTGATGTGCAATGTATATTATGAAAAAATGTAAGACCTTGGATTCATGTGAAACTATTGTGGGAGACCTTCAAAACAAAATTAGGAACCTTTAAAATAGCATAACAGGGGCACTTTGAAATTAGTGGTCAACTGACATTGTTTTTTTGATGGACGATGCCGATATCTTTGAAAGCAGAATATATATATATATATATATATATATATATATATATATATATATATATATATATATATATATATATATATATATATATACATACATACAAATTCACACACACAAACTTATTTAATAAATAATTTGAAAATGAATTGAAAAATAAATCTCTTAATTAGACTTCCTTTAGATGGCAACTTCTCGATTCTCAATAAATAAATAGTTGGGAAAAATATATATAAAAAGGAAGTAATCTAGGAAGTTTGTGCACACTGGGATTATATTTTTTCAAATAAAGACAAGGTAATACTAATTTTACTTACAGCACATTGAAAATGACATGAATATGACATAGTGGGCAACTGAATATAACGCAGAATAGTTTGAAATCAAGGGTTTAAAGTTTGTTGATCGTGCGACTCCAGTGAAGCTGAACTTTCACTTCAAAATATCTGGCAGCTGAATTCAACCAAGTTTGCAAGGTGTGTGAAATTAAACGTTAATTAGATATTCAAAGATTTGTTTAAATTATATAAATGCGTATTTGCTGACAGTAAATGAGAAAGTATAGTGTTTGCCTTTCTGTTACTAATAATATAAAAGCAAGGGCTATAACACTTTATTATATACAATTTACTATCTCTGTTTAACAGTTCTATCCAGTAACGTATTAACGACGTCAAAATAAAAGTCTGGCGCTCCCTCACAAAATAAAAGCTCCAATATATTGGCCAAACAGAAAAACGTATCGGCCGATCCAGATATAAAAAAAAATGACAAATATCGGCCGTGGCGATATATATCGGCCGACCACTATTTTAAATAAGCACTAAAATCCACATTTAACTTTGAGTTTGACTTCAAATTGTCAAGATATATGTCCTAAAGTTGTTAATCAAATAATAAAAAAAACATTTTAATTGCAAATAAAGCAACAACAATAAACTTGCCTTTGCCTTGTCTTTTGTTATCCTGGGCCAGGATTTCCCTGGCTCTGCTTTCCGTAAACAGCACAAGACCGACCGGTCTGTACGCTTATGTTTGGACCCCTGAGAATAGAACGTAAAACATGAAACAAAACATCCTCATCCTGAAATGTACATCCAACTATAGCAAATCATCTGAAACATGATCTCTCAATTGTGTGCTAAACTCACATCTTGATCGATGGATCCAAAAAGGTCAATTTCATTTGAGTGCTTCATATTATCCGTCCCACTGAGACAACTGAAGAAGAGCACAGGAGACAACATTAGCTAAACCACAAAACATTCAGACTACAGTCTAGAATCCAAAGCAATGACAATAAGAAGCTTTTGGTGTTTTACATAGATGTTGAAATACATACCTGAACCCAAATTTGGACTTTTCAAAATTTACTTTCACATCCTTGCTGTCCTCCACCAAAAACTCAATGAAGACAGAGTCCCGTCTGTCGTACCACTTAGCAGATGCTGGTTGCCTGAGGAGGAAATTTAAATTATGGATTGAATAATTCAGCGATAAACATTTTATATAAGGAAATGGTAATCTTATGCTACGTTCACACCGAACGCGAATAGCGCGTCAGGCGCGAGTGATTTCAATGTTAAGTCAATGCAAAGACGCGTTACGCGCGCGGCGCGGTAGACGCGAATACGCCTCGTTCGCACGAATTAAGCGTCTGGCGCGGCGCGTTTCGCGCAAATGATTTCGCGTCTGCCGCCCGAGTTGAAAAATCTGAACTTTAGCGTCAATTCGCGCCGCGTTAACCAATCAGGAGCCTGCTTGCTGCTGTCACGTGGTGAAGTGACAGTTTATAATGTTATTTTATGTTTGGCCTCAATAAACTATTTTGTAATTTGACAAAAATACTTGGTGTGCAAAGCAAATCTTTCACATAAAAACTCAATTTCAATATATGAGAGATAATCATTTTGTATTGAATGCTATTTATTCCATATCTATTCTATGAAACATTATTATTCTAATGTAAAGACAACAAACACAATTTAGTGTATAAAAACTTTTTTTAAAAATCACAGGACAGGTTTCACTTTTGGAGGCTCCATTTATTATCAAAACAAAAATAAATGACAGATTAGGTGTGTGCGGGTGAGGGTGAACCTCGCGCCGGGCTGTAGAGCGCGGGCTCGACAGGCATAGACCACTCGAGGCCGAGGGCTTATACGGCCTACGCTGTCCTCGTCAGCGTCCTCACCGTTAGGTCCATCAAACCTAGCTCCTGGAGCAAATTGTGAAACTCCTGAAACCCTCCGGAGGTTCTGGTGGACCCGAGTACAGCGACGATGTCCCCTACGCAGCTGTTTCTGCTCTCCAGAGCATATACGAGCGGTGACTCTCTCGAATAATGTTATCTCGAATAATGTAATAATGCTCGATAAACATCTAAAAAGATGGCCGCCAAAGGGTTTCGAAACTTTCGCCTCTGACGCGCGTAAATTTCGCTTCAAACTTTTGTTTTTACGGGCGTCAATTTCGCAATTGACACGCGAATTAACACAAAGTGGTCAAGCGTCAAACTAGACGCGGTAGACGCGAATTTGACGCGCTATTCGCGTCCGGTGTGAACGTAGCATTAGGATAGTTTAAATGAATGGATAAAATATGTCAGATCAATCAGCTGATATTTGGTCATTCTATGGTTATATCAAAGACTTTATAGAAAGATGGTTCACTCCGATTACTTATGAATGGGAGAAAGTGCAACAGCAATATGGTGGAATAAGCCCCGCCTTCTAAAGAAATGAGCCAATCGGCGTTTGGAAAGTCATCGCATCACTGCCGCTGCCGTTAGAAGCTCCGGTTCCTATAGGAACAGGCATGTGTACTGAGACGTGCCTTTAGGACTGCACATAAGCTTGGCCTAGCCTGGAAAATGCTGTTTTTTTTTTTGTCATGATTAGAGCGTTTAGAGACAGTTGTCAGATTTCATTGGTGATTTCAAATATGAAATTTAATCGTAAGCTTGGCGAGCAGTTTTGGAGAATTTTATGTTTCCCCATTCAAAGAGATAGCAGCTGCACTTTCATGCCCGAGAGGCGTTTTCCCATATATTGTTCAAAACACTAGTATATTATAGTACAACACTAAATATTGTGGGGATGCACCGGTAAGATTAAAAAAAAAAATGTTTGCCCGATACCGATATCGTTTTTAAGCAATAACTATTGGCGTATTCCGATACAGATATTTGGATTGGAGTAGTGAGCGATATTTTAGTTATTTAGTCAAGAGTAGTAAGTGATTGTGTCTTTTGTTGTTTGCAGTCACTTTAAAACCGAATGCACAGATCCAATATACTGGTACACAATTACAATTATGTTCATTTAAGACATAACTGACAATGTTTACAAAGACACTCGCTAATATGGGCATTTTGATATAATTTTGTGTGATTTAGAAGAGAACTCAATTCCATATTTGTGCTCTGTCTAAAGCGCGGCTTTCCGGGCGCACGCTTTGGATGCGAGTTTGAAACTTGAGTTGAAAGAGAATCGAACTCTCTTTCGTGTCTTCTTGCGCTTGAATTTAAGGATACACTTTCGTGAGGATGCAGCACTGGCCTGATCAGGACAGTGATTTCCGTCAATTGTGCCGATCGTCGTTCACGCTGGCCCCGGGGAGTCTGTATTGTCAAGGACTGCTGTAATTTGTACTGATTTCATTTTGTTTTAGCAAGTATTTAATTATTTTACCCAGAGAAAAAGGTTGGATTATGCAACAGACATTATACAACTCAGTGCCTATCAGTTAACTAATAAACCATGGGTTTGTTATATCTGCCTTTTTCATGCTATAACCGATATGCTGATGGTTTAAATTAAACAAAAATTGACTAATAAATATCAATAAATTGTGCAAAAGAAATTTGTCACAGATTCTCTAATTTCCTGAGAAACAGTTAAACTTACACGATATACACAACGGTACAAAAGTTTGGGGTCAGTGCGGTTTTTTAAACTAAATTAATACTTTTTATCATCAAGGATGCATAAAGTTGATCAAAAACAACAGCAGAGACTTTTATAATGTCACAAAAGATTTCTATATCAAATAAATACTGTTCCTTTGAACCCGTTGAAAAAATGTATTTGGGTTTCCACAAAAATATGTAATATAATAACTCTTTTAGTCTTTTCAAAATTAGATTAATAAGATGGAGAAACATTTTCATTAAGCATCAAATCAGAATGATTTCTGAAGGATCATGTGACACTGAAGACTGTGTTATGATGCTGAAAATTCGGCTTTGATCACAGGAATAAAGTCATTTTAAAATGTATTCACACATATAAAAGTAAGTTACTTTAATTGAAATAATATTTCACAATATAACTGTTTTATTGAAAAAATATCATTCAAATATAATAAAATATATAGTACTGTTCACCTGGTTCTCTAGATATCGGTATTAGCATCATCCAAAGAAACTGCATTCGATCACTAATTTAAATATTGGGTGTCAAAACACCATTTCCCACAAATATTGTTAGCAGTATTAGGTACAGAAAGTAGTAGCAAGTGAGGTACAGAAAACTTGATTGTTCAACAAATAAATAGATCTGCAAAGAGCAGGTGGCATGGACATCTGTGCCACAGCACTTCAATCTGCCGCCTGTTACTGCTCCTTTTCTAAAGCATGGTGTATCAAATTCTTGACACAAGTCAACACTACTAAACAAAGGTTGAGTTCAGAGTTCAGTTCCATTATCAAACTGTACATGTCCATAGGACCACATTCATTAATTGATAACTGATGTGAAATATGATTAGGAAACAACTAAGCTTTTTTTTTTATAATATGCTTACATTTAATCAATATGATAATCTGAGCCCAAATATTTGTGGAAATACTCAGGCCATTGAAATAAAATTAAGGATTATCGTTTAAAAGCACAGAGTAAGGATTATCGTTTAAAAGCACAGAGCTGTTGAGGGACAGACAGGTTCAGATATAATCGCTGTCTTCTTGTAGTGTGCTCACTGAATAGTGAGTGTTATGAGTGTGTTCTTTCTTTCATTCATTCTCACACACACACACACACACTCACTCCAGCTCTCTGGCCCTGCAGCACGTGCAGGCGGCGCGCGCATTTAACCGTAAAAGAAACCGATAAACTCCCCTCGCATCAGCTACTCTTTCAGCGAGTTCGTCGATAGTAACATACATTTTACAAAGATGTGTGTATTTATGAACGGTCTTGGGTGGGAAAAGGGCGCTAAATGCTAACATTGGTGACCTTTTTTCAGGCTAACTGTAACGCGCCAATTTATACTTACACCATATTTTTTTACACATTTCAACATATATTAGTAATTACAGAGTTCTGAACCTAATGCTTTTAAATTTAGCGTTTTAAATTCTGCGTTCCCCTGCAGGGGGTTTCATTGAGTTGCTAGATAGTTTAACGACTACGTGAGGAGTGACTGAGTCGTGCGGAAGTAGCTAATGCTGGCTAGCGATAAGCTTCACAGTCTACACAGTTATTTTGTGCTGGTTTCAGTAACAAACTGAATTTCGCATAAATCTGAACAGATATATTTAACATAGAGCTCACACTTACATGACTTTGGCGGCTGTGTGAGTGTGTGATAGTCGGCGTCTGCTCAGAGGTTTTCTGGTATGTTCTCCCGATGTTCTGTTCTGGTGGTGGTGTCACAGGAGTGCGGGTGGGCGGGGCCTCAAACCACGCCCCTCACAATCGCTGGACTTTTCTAGAGCTTCCGTTTCAAGTTTCAAGCTCAAAGCAAATAATGCTAAATCGTCAGTGACCAACATCATCACTTCAAGCTTGCTCATTAATAATAATACAAAAATGTTTTAAGTACTTGTCAATAATAAATTATATAGCAAAGCGCTTGATAAAATTGTCTAAATAATATTCTAGAAGCCCATTTTCGCCACATTACAAAAAAAAAGCTTATTTAAATCTGAAATGTGACATACTATTTAAAAAACGATGACATAAAAACTCATACTAAATAATAATTGTGATACTTTTGACTATCTTTGTCATAATTATGACATAAAAAGTCGAAATTATAAGATAAAACGTCAAAATGATGACATACTAGATTAATTATTAATTATGAGATTAGAAAACAGAAATTGTGAGAGAGAAAAAAACGAAATTATGACGTAGTACGTCATGATTTCGAATAAATAAAATAATATAAAATAAAGTAAAATAGAATAAAAAATAATTTTAAGTAAATAGTAGTATTTGTAATTAATATAAAGTTACGTCAAAGTTGTATTAAAAAGAAAATTAAGTGAAATAAAAAACGTCCTGCTTTTATTTTGAAAGAACCCGTTGACTCGTTAGTTCTAGCTTAGCGTCGGTTACTTCGCGTTGCTTAAAGGATGAATGACAGATGATTATAAACGCTGTTGTTATTTTCCGTCTCCGCTTATAAAGGAGTCGTGCTGGGTTTTTCTCTCGCTTTTATTAATCTGTTCTGTGTATGATTGGTCTGATTTAATCGCCCATTGGATTACAAGAGCGCTGTTATACACTGTTGACATCGTTCTAAATCTTTCCTCCGGTTCATCCTGAAGAAATTCCTGCACAGATCCCTTATCCACACACACACACACACACGATGGACCTTTTTTTATGAATGTATGGTCAATATCTGCATCTGAATCGCCATGTAGGCATATAGTAGTGTGTAATAATAACGCTCGCCAGGTAACGTTAACACACCAGGTAAAGCCAGTTGTCCGATCAGCTGAGAGGAGGAGAGGGTAGATCAGGGCAATGCACGGGGGAAGAGCAGTGATCTAGGAGGAGATGCGTGAGTATGAGGAGAGTTTGCACGGGCTCGAGGGGGAGTTGATGGATCATTTCCCCCCTCCACCCCCGCGACACCCGCTCGCCCGGGAGCGCATGAACATCCAGAAGAGCAGCGTCTGCTCCAGGGCTTACTTCGTGGTGGTGATGGCCTTCTTCCACATCTACATCATTAACATCATAGCTCTGCTTCTGTATGTGCACTATAACACGGGGTCTGGGGAGCAGGATGTGCTCCTTGAGAAGAGTGCCAGTGTCCCAGGACCCATGCCTGAACACCAACCCCCTTCACCAAACCTGAGCCCCGAGCTCTCCTTCCAGCTGCCTCGCCTGGAGGGCATTCGGGTAAGTTACATGCACTATGTTATAGGACTTATGTTTTTATCCTGTAATGCCTTTCCAGCTCAAATGGGTAATTTTTAAGATGTAAAAGATCAGGGAGTAGTGTTATTTATCTCTCATGTTCTGTGATAGCATTCATATATTTGTCTGTTAAATTAATGTAATGGTGAAATAAATTATACAACTTAAATTAGCTGTGAAAAAAAAAGTCAAGTACAATATACCCCATTGCCAGTGTGTTGTTATACTAATAGAAAACATGATTATAAAAAATTTAATTTTGTGCATTTTTTAAAACAATTAATAGTGCATTCCTCATCACTACCCCCACCCTCATTTAATTTTAGCCTGTAGATGTATGAATACTTTTTTTATTTAAAACAATAATACAATGAGACAGTCATTTAGAAAACACTTCTCCCTTAAATTTGATAATAATTTATGTTATGAATATCATAATTATAAAGGAATCAATAATGAGGGAAACCAAATCAGTAGCCAAGGCTGTGTTTGAAACGCCCCCTAAACCCTCGTTCACTATTCCCTACATTACTCAGCTGAAATAGTTCACTGAAGGAGTGAATGAAAACGAGTGAGTGAATTCGGACACTGATTCCTTTGGCATAGTTTGTGCTTGCTGTTGAATAATCATTTGTAACTTAGCAAACCGGCAGCTACAATATAAATGAAAAGATTTATCTGGAACTCTGTCATGGAAAGATGGAAACTATCATGTATAAACCTTATTAAACAATTTAATAATCAAGTAAAAAGGAATGTATACCTGTATGATATTACGCTGTCACATTGGACCAGCGGTTTGGAAAATGGATGGATGGATGATTCGCCATCTTCTAGTCAGAAGCGGGAATGCATTCGGCACGACTCTCACAGTGCATTATGGGTAATCTCTCGCCGTTGAGTGTACAGCAGTTGTACACGTTATTGTGGTGCATTGTGTGATTGAATGAGTGGCTGTCCCCTCAAATAGTGGCCTATATAAGACAGTGAGTGATGCTTCCCTATAATGTGTGCGTAATCCAATGTTAATGAGACTTACATGCTTTATCTTTCCCCTCAGGTTGGGCATGTGCAAAGAGTGTCTCTCGTTCCTGACCGGACCCATAACATGCGCACCCTCAGCTTGAAACCACTGCTGTTTGGTGAGTTTCAGCTTTTCGTGTTTTAAAATCTTGACGTTTTTGGGTTCAACTCATCAATTATGGATGTAAAAGTAGCGCTGAGATTTGTGACAGAAAATGGACACATGAACACATTTTAAATGGTTTAATATCTCTAAAAATATAGTTCAAGGATCTTCTATTATTTACAACATTATGAACACACTGAGATACCTTTTTGAACACCCTCTTTGTCCCGCCGTCTGAAACTCTACCCTCTACACCGATGGCTTTTCCACTTGCGCGCCGCTTGGTTGAGGTGCCGTGGGCGTTTCCCCCAGCTGAAGGCTTTAGTGACTAGCAGTCTCTTGCCCGTCACAGTGCCCGTCAACAGGAAGGTTCCCCCGTCGGGATGGTTGCGGGTCAGGTTGCCCACGCAGGTGGCGTCTCGCTCCAGCCACAGTGTCAGACGACTCCTCATTTCCCCTCCCAGCAGCGGCCCATGCTTCAGGACCTCCAGCCGAGAGCCCAGCGAGAACATGGTCAGGACAGAACTACTGGAGTTCAGTTTGGACAGACGCACTTTAACCACTAGCAGAGAGAAGGAAACCGATGAGTGATGAGTTAGTTTCAGCATTAAAGAGGTCCTATCATGCCCTTTTCACAAGATGTAAAATAAGTCTCTGTGTGTATGTGAAGTTTTAGCTCAAAATACCCCTCAAAAACGGCGCCTTTTTTTGTGCGTGTCCCTTTAAATGCAAATAAGCTACTGCTCCCGGCACCAGTGTTGCCAACTTAGCGACTTTGTCGCTATATTTAGCGAGTATTCAGACCCCTCTAGCGACACATTTTCAAAAAAGCGACTAGCGACAAATCTAACGACTTATTCTGGTGTTATTGGAGACTTTTGGAGACTCCCTGACGTGAAAGCACATATCGTTCTTACTCTTCTCAACGAGCAGCGGGTGCTGCCGTGGGTCCCACCCCCGTCCCAAATCACTCACAGGCGGCCCAGTCCTCGTGCAGCAGCCCCTGCCAGCTGTCGTCAGAGCAGGAGATGTTCACTCCTCCATGTACAGACTGCAAAAGAATCGCGCAAATGAGTCGCTATTTTTAGCGACTTTTCAGACCCTGACTTTTTGCTTTCTCCCTGCCGTCACTCACTCTAGCTACGTCTACCCTGTTCAGTGAATGGCTGAGAGGAGCAGCAGCACATTCATCTGTTGAGTGCACGGCCGCTGACAGACGTGAATGAGCGGTGTTTTTCCACGGACTTATCACTTATCTGCTTTTCTTTTGTTTTTTATTTCAATAATTTAGTTTCCTTTCTTTTCTTGTGCTTACGGTACAATTTTTTTTTTGTCATTCACTAGGCCTATATCATAGCTACTCATTCTATTGTGTGACAAAAAATATACAGAAAATGAGAACAGCTTTATTTTACATAGTATAATAGTATAATAAATACAATATGTGAGCTGAGCATTAATTTATAGAGAAAACACATTAGGCAAGCAGAACGCAAGTTCGACGCGATGACGTCACTAATATGCTAATTAACGTGTGACGTCTTTTAGCGACTTTTAGGGAAGGCGTACTTTCATTTGAAAATAGTTGGCAACACTGCCCGGCACAGGGGGCGGAGCTTCAAGAGCTTGTGTGTTAGCAGCTCCAATTACCTCAAAACCGTTTAGCCTTTTATGTTCAAACCGGAGTCGGACAAAGATGGAGAGACTCAAGAAGAAGGGACAACATGTAGAATGCAACGGGACATTTCTGAATGGTTAGTTGATGAATTTATGTAGCTGATGTGGAGTTAAAAGATGAGTTCACCTCAAAATGAAAATTTCCTGATTATTTACTCACCTCAATGCCATCCAAGATGTTCATGTCTTCCTTTCTTCAGTGGAAAAGAAATTACGTTTTTTGAGGAAAACATTTCAGGATTTTTCTCCACACAATGGACTTCAAGCGAAACCATCGGTCATTTTCTAAAAAAACAACAACATTTATATACTTTTTAACCACAATTGTTCGTCTTGCAGGCATTACGTCATCACGTTGGAAACGTCACGCGTCTCGTCATCTATCTAAGTTATCTGTCTGTGTACTCCGGTTCAAAAAGGCAGGGAAGGGCGAAAAATTCCATCTCATTTTCTCCCGTTTTTTTCTTCGAACTTCAAAATCGTCTGACATCTTTGTTTTAATTTATTATTATTTAAAAAACAAAACAAATCGTGACGTTTCCAACATGATGACGTAATGCCTGGCGCGTCGCAGACCAGCACAAGACGAACAATTGTGGTTAAAAAGTATATAGACTTTTTTAGAAAATGACCGATGGTTTCGCTAGATAAGACCCTATTCCTCAGCTGGGATCGTGCAGAGCCGCTTGAAGCTCTTCATAGCCCTTTGAAACTGCAGTGATTTGGACTTCAACGTGTTGGTTGCGCTTGAAGTCCATTGTGTGGAGAAAAATCCTGAAATGTTTTCCTCAAAAAATGTCATTTCTGTTTCCACTGAAGAAAGAAAGACATGAACATCTTGGATGGCATTAAATTATCAGGAAATTTTCATTTTGAGGTGAACTAATCCTTTAACTATCTTCTAGTCATTGATTAGCATATTCTGTCTTGATAATCTATAAATCGTGTTCCGGGGGCGGGGTTTATGTAAATTTTAGGGTTAGTGATGTCACTAACCCGTGAAGAAGCTCATTGTAGTCCCTACCAGCCGTTTGTTGTAGTCCTTAAAATGCGATTTCTGTAAAAGAAAATATCTACCTTTGCTTTGAACTTTGAGCGTCGTATCTTTGCAGATGTTGTTTATGCTCAAACAGCAACATTACACACTAACTAAAGTTAGAAAAGTGAAATCATAATCATCCACCCCTTTAATCATTTTCAGTTTCTTACCAAAGTCACTTTTACAGAAGAGATCGAGCAGTTCTTTGGATGACGTGGCCTCCTCTAACTCGCAGTCTGTGCAGCTCGCGCGCGGCACCACTGAAACGGACCACAAAAACCAGTTCGGTGGAGGAAACCCAGCATTGTTTTTGTCTACATGGCTCTCCCAAAGTATGTAAGCTAGAAAAAAAAGATCTTTGTTTACCTCGGCCTTCATTGCTGGTGCCGTTTTGCATATGCGCAACTGAGGAAATGCACATTAGGTGATCTTTGGGAAACTGGTCACATTGCAGTATTCTGGGCCAGGGGTAACCGTAGCAGTTCATGATGGGGGCGCAGCTGTCCCGTACCGACACACACAAACTCCTACATGGTGAAATGATCCTGAAAAGTGACACACACATTCACTGATTGTTTCGGAGCTGATGATTTGATGTGGAAAGGTAGCTAAAGATGTCTGGTTTCTGAGCCCACACAGCTTGAGAAGTATTTTCATTGGTGGTCTCGGCTATTTAGCCATATTTAAGATTCGGAGCACAGAAAAAAAGCATTAAAAATGGCAACAATTGCTATTGTTTCTATTGCATTAGAGCAAACCTTTTATATAATTTTCATCAAATTTAATTGATTTAATCAAACATGAATGAATGCAATCCATTAAACGCATTCTTGCTTAAGCAAGAGTATTGTCTTGCTATATTGTTTGTGGCACGAATTTCATTGCATATGATTTTCACTTCCACTTAACATTAGCATTTGTACTCATTTGCATGATAATGACAACAGGCATTTAACTGATTTAAATACCATGTAACATTGACCATTGACTGAAATGATATCCACAATATATTTTTTAGGGTAACACTTTATTTTACAGTGCCCTTGTTACATACGATACATGTACTTACTATAGTAATAACAGTAAATTATGCATAATCACATGCAACTAACCCTAAACAAAACCAAACCCTAATCCTATAGTAAGTACATGTTGTTACTTAATATTACTCAGTACTTAAATGAATAGTTACAGTGTAACAAAAACACCTTAAAATAAAGTGTAACCTTTTTTAGTTTTGAGGGTCATCGTTCCTGCCAATCAATGAAACCGCCAGTCTGTTCAGAAGCCAGTCTTACCTCTCAAGGCACACGGGGGCGAAGAGCGAGCACAGGAAGATGCGGGCGTGCGGGTGGCACTCTCGGGACAGGAGCGGCAGCCAGCTGGTGCTCTGCTGCACCGCTTCAGCTGGAGATTCGTGTCCCAGCAGGTTGGGCATCCGCATGCTGTTGTAGCCCAGACCCTGGCACAGGGCCATGTTGGTTGGGATGGGCACACAACGGGAGGATCCCTGGAGCTCCCAGTGTCCGTTGGGCTTGGCATTGATGCCTGGGCTGAGCAGAAGCAGCAGTAGAGCGGACGCTGTCAGCATTATAGTCCAGAGAGAGAGTTGAGGGTCGGTGTAAGGTAGTGTCGGGGTAAATCAGTAATAGTGTATTTATACACCACTGCCCGAGGCCCATTTGGGAGAGGGCGGGACTTTGCAGACCGTCAGATTGGATTGGTTAGGGAGGGTGTGTATGTGTGACTGTGTGTGTGACTTGTCGGTTCTTCCGTTTCTCTGCTGGAGATGATGAACAGTGAGCTCTACTGTACCACACACTTCCTTTTTGCTCTTTTTTTTATGATAATACAACACAACAGATTAACCACTAGGAAGAGGAGGTGTTCACATGCTCAGATAGATAGATAGACTGACTGATGGATGGATAGATAGATGGATGGATAGATAGATAGATAGATAGATAGATAGATAGATAGATAGATAGATAGATAGATAGATAGATAGATAGATAGATAGATAGGTGGTTAGATAGGTGGTTAGATAGATGGATGGAGATAGATAGATATACAGATGGATGGAGATAGACAGATAGACAGACAGACAGACAGACAGACAGACAGACAGACAGACAGACAGACAGATAGATAGATAGATAGATAGATAGATAGATAGATAGATAGATAGATATACAGATGGATGGAGATAGACAGACAGACAGACAGACAGACAGACAGACAGACAGACAGATAGATAGATAGATAGATAGATAGATAGATAGATAGATAGATAGATAGATAGATAGATAGATAGATATACAGATGGATGGAGATAGACAGACAGACAGACAGACAGATAGATAGACAGACAGACAGACAGACAGACAGACAGATAGATAGATAGATAGATAGATAGATAGATAGATAGATAGATAGATAGACAGACAGACAGACAGACAGACAGACAGATAGGCAGATAGATAGATAGACAGACAGACAGACAGACAGACAGACAGACAGATAGATATTGATTTTTGTGTTTACTGTATGAGAAGTTGTCAGACAGTGAGAGTGTAAAGCTGAGGAAGGGTTGTGTGTGACAGAGGTGTGTGAAAGGAAGTGTGTAAGTGTGAGAGGGCTGGAGTCGCGTCTGTGCGTGTGTGTGTGTGTGTGTGTGTGTGTGTGTGTGTGTGTGTGATGCTGAGGAGTTGTTCTTCCCCTGCTGGGAGCAACACACAATGTCCACCCCAAAAATGGCCCTCACTTCCTGTCCACTCCATTCCCAGGACCCTTTCTTTCCCCTCATCCAGTCTAATGAGTCAGAGAGACTGCATCTCTCGCAGACAAACCATGCGGAAGAGCTTTATGAAGAGCGTGCGTCTATATGTTTATGCGTTATCTGCATTTGAATGGCACGAAACAATAACGGTGATGGATAACACTGAAACCTATATACAGCCATCTAAAACACGGAGCACTCTCTCACCCATCCCAGAGAAACAATGGCCCCCACCAGAACACATTAATGGCTCAGTCTCATTAACACTCTCAATGGGTCAGGCAATACCATGAGTCTTAAAGAGGGGGATGGGCGCAATTCATTAGATTTGGCCACTATTCACTATATTAGCTGTTTAAAAATGTAACCACTACCTAAATAAAACGAATCTTAATATATACAGTACCAGTTAGACATCATTTTTTTCTGAAAAGTAAGACTAGCTAACTGCTAGTTGTCTTAAAATAGTAGCTGTGTTCGTGCAACTGGCCTCAGACTGACTGGTACTTCTTGCTACCAATTCAAGCCATCCTCACATTCACCTGGAAATGATGGTTCTCTCACCCAATGCGAGTTGATGACATTAACACCCGTTTGCAGCGAAGGTCTGTTGATTAGCCCTGCATAGTGTGACTGAGATCCTTTAATCCTTCAGCCTAATCTCATAATGTTCTCCCCCTCGTTGACGCTCGCTCTGTCTGCCTCGCGGTGTAACTCTCACAGACACTTGCTGCTACAATAGATCAAACAGGGATCATGTCAGCTTTTTTAAGATGCTCTTAACACATTGTTAAGAGGTGTGCTGGATCTTCTGCTGATAAGCGACACCCTAGCAACCACATAGCAACGCTCTGGCATTCACCTTACCACCATAGCATCACTGAGGCACGTTTGCCAGCCTTAAATAGCAACTATACCATTTATTAAATTATACCTATAAGTATTCTATACTAACTGTAATCAAATAAAAGTCTGCTATGTAATTACCAGAAGTACCTGATCACAGATAAATGGTCCGTTTGCAAATTATATACTGTTCTGTTTAAACAAATTTATTGTAAATCACTCAACTAAAATCAATCATTTTAAATGCTACATGTAAATTTAGGCATAACACCATTATAATGTACAGTATGAAATGGATATTGTGAGATTTACTGAAGATTACTTTTAAGAGTGTGAATTACATTATTTGTGTTTTAAAGATTTAGTTTAAGTGAATTTAAATGGGAAATAAGCATGAACGGTAATATATTTAATAACAACTGATAAATTAAAATATCTGTAATATTGGCTGATTATGTATAGTATGTACACTACTGTTCAATTGTTTGGGATTGGTACTATTTTCTTTAAAAATGTTTGTGAAAGAAGGCTGTCTTCTGCTCACCAAGGCTACTTTTTTTTAATATCAAAACTACAATAAAAACAGTAATATTGTGAAATATTATAGCAATTTAAAATAACTGTTTTCTATTGTAATACCAGCCTTCAGTGTCACATGATCCTTCAGAAATCATTCTGATTTGATGCTCAAGAAAAATGTCTGATTATTATCAATGTTGAAAACAGTTAAGCTGTTTAATATTTTTGTGGAAACCGTGATGCATTTTTTAGGATTATTAATTTTTAACAGCATTTATTTAAAATATAACTCTTTTATAACATGTATATGTCTTCACTGCCACTTTGGATCAATTTAATGCATCCTTGCTAAAAAAGAAACCTTACTGACCCCAAACTAATCTAACTTTAAAGGGTAGTATATATATATACATCCACACACACACACATACTCCTGGTAGAGCTGCATGATTAATCGTTAAAAGATTGCGATCTCGATTCAATAACCCATGCGACCTTATTTCTAAATGATAAGGATTCACCTGTGTCTATTAAGCCTTTGAAAAAAATCACACTGAAACATTTAAAGCTGCCGCTGATCCAGAGAGAGCAGTTGCCATGTATAGGTTTGAAACCGCTTCACATGAAACGGTGTCTTTTCAACCGTAACGAATCGTTATTTCTGTGTTACAAATATTCATATCATCTCAGAAGTACTGGGATAAAAGTGTATAAGTCCGGATATAAACACTGATGTCTACAGAAGCAATCAAAATAGAGTAAGTCGCCTTTTAAAAGCAACATGGCGCTTTAAAAAACGATTGTGTCGATTACATCGTTACACCAGTAGGTGGCGACAAGTGACTGTTAAAAATGTATTTGGCATTGAATTATTTATTCCAGAAATTCCTTCAAAAAATGCTGATTCATCCAGAAAAAAGGGTGTCACGATTTCGACAGTAATTAATTCATTCACAATCTCGAACTTCGAATAAAAAAATGGAATCGTCGATGCTGCCGCGCCCCCATTTCACGTCCGGTCGGCGACAGCGTGCCAAGCGGAAAAAAACACGTGTGTTGAAGTGCTGCGAGTCTATGGTCAACCTCCTCTAACTTAGAACCTACTGTGCTCCAAACCGTATAGCGCGCACGGCAGAGAGGGAGAGAGCGAGAGACCTTGCGTGTGTGCCTCAGGAAGCGCATGTAAGACAGAGAGCATCCTGATTGGCCGGTTTCGGCTTTAAAAAAAAAAAAAGTAAAAATCGAGAATCGAATCGAAAATGTAATCGAATCGAGGATCTGGAGAATCGTGACACCCCTATCCAGTAATGAATCAATAAAGTACTTACAAATGAGTCATTGAATCATTCATTGAATTATTTTTTAAAAATGTCTTGATTCAGATTAATTAAACATTTAAATAGACTGCAGCAATTAACATTTTGTCAGAACCTCTAGTAAGTTACATGTTTATTAGTCTGGTCAGAATCGCGGGAGAATCGTGATCTCTCTCTCTCTCTCTCTCTCTCTCTCTCTCTCTCTCTCTCTCTCTCACTCTCTCTATATGTATATATATATATATTCAATGCATTTAAAGCACACTGACGCATGTTGCTGTGTGTTGCAGAGATCCCAGGGTTCCTGAGTGTGGAGGAGAGCAGTGTGGTGATGCAGCTGGCCCAGCTGAAGGGCTTGACCCACAGCGCTCTCCTCACGGCCCCGGACAGCCAGGAGGAACAGCTCACTCAGGACGAGCTCTTCAGCCTGCTCGACCTCAACCAGGACGGCCTTCTGCAGAGGGAGGAGGTCAGACACAGTCTCCTACACTCACTGCCGCTCTTCAACCTTACATTTATCAGTACAATACTTTAAAGAAGTTCTTTCATCATTTACTCACCCTGATCACTTTGCTGCCCCTTTTTCTGTGAAACTTAGGGTGTATTCACACCTGCCTTGTTTGGTTCGATTGAATCGAACTCTAGTTCGTTTCCCCCTTTGGTGCGGACCTTTTGGGCAGGTGTGAATACAGCAATCGAACTCTGGTGCGGACCAAACAACCGAACCGAGACCCAGCTGAAGAGGTGGTCTCGGTACGGTTCCAAACGAACTCTGGTACGGTTCGTTTACGGTGTGAACATGAACTGACCCAATTGCAAGAAAGCACTGCGCCTTTGAGTTAACAGGCTTCCATAGGCGGAGATGTTGGCATAATGGTTTGTGTTATTGTTGTTCAATACGCGCTGTCTGGCCACACGATACTGTTGCGCGTCTTTCTGCGCGTCGTGTGTGTGCATCATTGGAATGTAATGAATGAATGAGTGTGTGCATCAGGACATTCACATACAGAGCGTTCTCTTTAGTCTAATCGCGCATCTATGCAAAAAAAGCTTTTGCAGTTCATATTTGTAACGATAGTTACAATACAAGGATGATGCTGCGTTAAACTGGACAAACTTAAATCGCAAGCGTTAACATTGACAGCACTTGTTAGCAGTATATACAATAAGAATCTCATTATTTGAATGTGTGAACATAGCCCCTCTCTATGAATGAAAACTTTATACCTTATCCGTCTTCTGCGCAGTTTCTTCATATTGCGTTTGTACAGAATAACACAAAATTAGTAAAATAACAAATATTGCAGTACGAAATATCTCCATGCTGAGCCTTTTTTGCACTTCCTGATTTCCCTACTTGAGAATCCTTGTCCAATGAATGGACGACCTTAGCACACGTGTGGTTTTGTTTACAAAATTTGGTTCACTTGCAAAAAGAGCAGTGTGAAAGCGAACCGTACCAAAAAAAAAAAAAAAAAAATTATTTGGTCCGGACCAAAGCAAGTGAACTATCGGACTTTCCTGGTGTGAATACACCCTAAGAGTGAGTTGGAATATTTTCACTGAATAATGACTTCCGGTATATCGGCAAAACATTGTAGAGCTTAGTTTCTCATTTGTTGTTCCGCGGAGGAATCTCATGCAGGTTGAAATGACACGCGAGTGAGTAAATGATGACCGATTTCTATTTTTGGGTGAACTCTCCCTTTCGAGGATGATAGTGAATATGGAGAGAGATAGAAGCAGAGAGAATAATGAAATACATTTTCCCAGAGTTAAAAGCATCTGTTCTGCCACAGATTTTGAGTCTGTCCCATTCGACTGATGGATCTTGGCTGAGCTCATACAATTTACGGAAAATCCACACCGGGCTTGAGACCAACCCTTCTGGTAAGTGAAGTGTGTGTGTGTGTGTGTGTGTGTGTGTGCGTGTGTGTGAGAGAGAGAGTGGTGGGTCTGATACAATGACACAACATGCAATGTTTTCTAGCAGCTTCCGGATAGATCCTATTAGAGTCTCATTAATATGAGGGTTACACACACACACACATCCGCCTCAAATACGGACTCACCGAGGTAGTGTCCCCTCTTCCGGTCCCCCTGCGCTATTGTCTGGAGAGCATCCCGCTGTGGTTCGGTTCCGGAGGGGAAAGAGTGAAGACTCACTGACCCGCGAGTAAAGGAGAAAAATAGAGAAACGCTATTCTCTTTATTCTCGCCTTGTTCATTGTAACGCTGCCGTCAACTGTAATATTTGTTTGTGCTGTTTGCTGAGACGAGCATCTCTATTACTCTTGCTCATGCTTAAAGTTGAGGAATCAAACACACCCCTAACCCTAAATATTAAACCCCAGCATGTAACTTGTCCCGCTCCATTTGCGATTTTTTTATCGACATGAATGATAACTGAAATCATGCGGTTTGTTGACTAATCCCATTGAGTTACAATGAAGGAAGGATCCGAGCCATATATAGAAACTGGAATATCATAGAGACTTGTAAACGGGCTCTCTTGATTTGGACCTGAAGGAAACCACTTACAGCACGCTAGCAACCACATAACAGTGCATTAAAACATTCAGAACAACCACACAGCAACATCCTTGCAACCACATAACAATAAACTAGCATTGCACATGCTAAATTCCAATTAATACTGTTTTTTGTATTGTATGGTCGAATAGAAGCATAATGTGCAGATTCAGAATGTGATTTTAATGCTGCATGACTGAGATTCGTGTCTGGTGTGCGTTCGCAGGAGCTCTGTCTCTGCAGGAGTTTAAGCGTGTCAGTGGAGGAGTGTTGCAGTACAGTGGAGCTGGACAAGGCTTGGACGGGAACGCCGAGGCCAGGCAGAGAAGCACACACACACGGCTTTACCTCGGAGAGGGCACACACCACCTGCTGAGGAGCATCAGAAACAGGTGATACAGTCTGATGGCTGCTGCAGTGGTTACAGCTCAGGGCTTGGATACAAACGGATCCTGGTTCCATCCATCACAATTGTGCACTTAAAGATAGTTCACCCTCAAATGAAAAGTCTGATAATGTTTGGTCCGTGCATCTTCTGATAATTTGATCCTCTACTTAAGAAGATGTATAGAGAAATGTGAAATTGTTTGTTGGGTGTTTTCCCCTTTTTTGCTTAAAGTCCTCCTGTAGTCAATCATTTTATCCCTTAAAACTCATCTTTGATCACAGAAATGACACATTTAAATGGTTTTTCCTTGAAAAAAAAAATTCTTCATGCCTTAAAATAGCTTGGATGTAACTCTACACCCTTGCCTTATTTAGTATATGTGGTGAGCCCCGTCTCCACTCACTCACAGCAGCTCCGAGATCCACTGGTTGACGATCACACGTTGATCTGATTGGTTGCAAGGTAGTTTGTGACGTCAGAAACACCAGCGATTTCAAACGCGTTTTTGGTTCACTGCAGTTTGAAGGAGAAAATGCTCAGCAATGGTGTTGACATGAATTTGCACATGGTTTGTATTAAAGCATATTAAAAACACCACATAGACATATAAACAACATTAAAAGCTTGATTTTCACCACAGAGGGACTTTAAGAAAATGAATGAGAATTAAGCTAGATTTGTTTCGTTTACTGCTTTAATATTTGATTCATGGGCGGCCCTGAAATGGCCCTTTCGTCTGATTGGTCTTCTGTACTGCAATCAAAGCCACTTTTAAAAAAAATTCATAAAAAAAAATAGTTTTAGATTGATCTACTTTTAGAATTCACTCTGAAAAATGAGCTGTTTTAAGAGAAGTCATTCACAGACAATTTTATGATAGGTTGGATTGAGTTTATAGCACTTCTCAATTATGGTATCCGCAAAAAGGTGCATCCCAATTCGCATTCTTGTAGTATAATTAGTGTGTGTAGTCCATGCGTAGTGTTGCAGGGGGCAACGGAAAAACCCAACCACACATTAAAAAATTACTTTACCTAAGTTTTCACTGTAATAATTATTTATTCAGGCCCAGTTATATACTTAAATACTTATACAAAAATGAAAAATATAACTTAATTAATAACTTTCTTAAACAAAACGAAAAATCTAAGAACAAAATTCTTGTTTCTCTTCATATCTCAAATGACCAGAAGGAACATGGCCCAGACAGCAACAGCAACGTTGACTTTGATTATATGAACAAAAACAGTTGAAACGTGTTTTTTTTTTTTTTTTTTTTTTTTTGGACACCTCCTCGTGACTTTCGTTGTTTGTCATACATGTTTAGAACGACATGAGGATGAGTACATTTTGAAGAATGATTACAAATGAGTATGAGAATGAGTACAAAAACGAAGAACTGTTTTTGTCCAAATCAAGAAAAGAAAACCATTTTGTGTTCTGCAGCAGAAAGACAGCCAAACTGGATTGGAAGGATATGAGTGTGACTAAATGATGACAGAATTTGAATTTTTGGGTGAAATATCCCGTTAAGCCCAGGTGAGCCCAGGAAGATGGTTCTGGTATTCTCTGGTATTGTTCTGGCACATTGCTTTGAGTAAAATTGTGCGTTCTTGTTTTGTCGGAAAGATCATATTGATGAGTATTAACGCCACCACAAAGTCATAAATACAAGTGGGGAGCTCGGGATTTTCTTTAAGCCTCGATCTTTTCGAGTTGGGGGCGTGTCAGTGAGAAACATGGCGGAATACCACAATACGTATAGGTATTTAGCAGTGACATTATCAGGCATTTTATTTACAAAAAAAACAAGCTAATTACATGCACAAAATATAATAGCATTGTAATATAACAATATAATATGTAACAATGATGTTTACAGGGGATTCATAAATTAATCAAAAGCATAAAAAGCAATACTCCTTTGTTCTTCATTTTCTAGAAGTAGAGTTTAAAAGCCTTGCTGTGTTTTGTGTAGTTAATTAAGAGAAGGGACACCGCCATCTTACTCCGATGAAAGTGACTCGAACATACCTGATGTCGCAAACACGACTTCCCAACTCGTAAATACGAACTTCCCATGAGGACATGAGTCTGGTAAAAAGTCTGCTAAATGGCTCCAGACTTGTGCACTAGACGAAGTACACACAGTAGAGCTAGTTTAAGGCATGCACATTAACGCACTGATAAACTTTGTTTTTCTCCAGAGTGACACGTGTAACGCGACTGCCGTCGTCGCTGGTCGATCTCAGCGAGCCAATGGAAGTCGTCCGTTACGAGCAGGGCGGGCACAGCCACGCCCACCACGACAGCAGCCCCCCCAACCCCGACAGCAGCTGCGCACACACACACCTGGCAGCAAATCACTCCAACCAAGTTGCATGCAGGTACATTTGAAGTACATTTTGTATCTAATTTGATTGACTCGTAATAATGCTGCGGCATAATAAAGGTGTTTCTATTTCCCAGGTATCTGACGGTCCTGCTGTATCTGAACTCGGCGGATGGAGGGGGAGAGACCAGCTTCCCTGTGGCCGACAACAGGACGTATGAGGAGGAGGTGAGCCACGTCTCGTTTCTATGGCAACAGCTCTGTTGCCCAGCAACCTGGCGGCAACAGGAAGAAGACTTGAATTGTGATGGCTATCTTAAGCACTTGACGTTATTGCAGTGTTTGAGGGTTCACTTGAAGTGTGTGTGTGTGTGTGTGTGTATTTCAGGTCTTAGGTGATCTCTCTCAGCAGTACTGTGATAAGGGAAATCTGAAGGTCAAACCTGTAGCTGGAACTGCTCTACTGTGGTACAACCACCTCTCAGATGGCAATGGTGATTTTCGTCATTATTCCAAACTTTTGACCGGTAGTGTATGTGTGATGAAAAATAATGAACTCCACATTGTTTTTCTCCATGCGTCTCCATCAGGTTGGGTTGGAGAGTTGGATGAGTTCTCTCTCCACGGCGACTGCTCGGTCACTCGGGGCTTTAAATGGACAGGGAGTGTGTGGGTGAACATCGACCCTGACCAGCAGCGTCAGGAGCGCTACCAGCGCCTGGTCTCGTGGCATCCAGAGGAGCAAAGCAAAAGGCCAGAGCATGGAGACCTTCACCAAGACCTCTGAACCAGTTACGCTTTACGCTGATCCAGAGTCAGTTTCCGCTAGGCAAGTCCTCATGTAAAGCCTGGTTTAGGAAATTAAAAGCTGGTCCAGTAAGAGATATACCAGGCGCTGCTGCAAGCTTGACCTTTATATAGCCGTCACCCCCTGCTCCGATGACATATCATAAAATATTCATGAGCTTAACAGGGAGAATAATAGCTAAACTTTCACTGATATAATTTGCTGGTGTCGCACAAGTTGCATATTCTCTATTTATGGAAGAGTTTATTTATTCAATGTTGCATATTTATTGAAATTATTTATTTGTCATATCACCATTTATTAAATTATTTATTCCTTTATTATTATTTATGAATATATATAAATGTGTGGTGTGTACATATATATTAATAGTCACATAATGTGTGTCTATTTATCTCAGGTTTGGTTAAGCACAGGTTCTTTTTCCATTTTAATGCACTATTTGAAATTGTCAGATATGTAAGTTAAATTAATTAATAAATAAATTCATACTTATAGAACAGTATGGGTGGTGTGTTAATTGTTATTAATTGGTTGTAAGAATTAAAGGGTTAGTTCACCCAAAAATTAAAATTCTGTCATCAATTACTCGCCCTCATGTCGTTCCAAACCCGTAAGACCGTCGTTCATCTTCGGAACACAAAAGAAGATCTTTTTTTATGAAATCTGAGCACTTTCTGTTCCTCCATTGACAGCTTCAACTACCACTTCAACGCAGCTCGTTTGAGCTTCAGCAAGAACCAATGAGGTTCATTCTCGTGTTACGCAGCTCGTTTGAGCTTCAGCAAGAACCAATGAGGTTCTTTCTCGTGTTACGCAGCACGTTTGAGCTTCAGCAAGAACCAATGAGGTTCATTCTCGTGTTACGCAGCACGTTTGAGCTTCAGCAAGAACCAATGAGGTTCGTTCTCTTGTTACACAGCACATTTGAGCTTCAGCAAGAACCAATGAGGTTCATTCTCGTGTTACGCCGCACGTTTGAGCTTCAGCAAGAACCAATGAGGATCATTCTCATGTTACGCAGCACGTTTGAGCTTCAGTTAGAAGCAATGAGGTTCATTCTCGTGTTACGCAGCACGTTTGAGCTTCAGCAAGAACCAATGAGGTTCATTCTCGTGTTACGCAGCACGTTTGAGCTTCAGCAAGAACCAATGAGGTTCATTCTCGTGTTACGCAGCACGTTTGAGCTTCAGCAAGAACCAATGAGGTTCATTCTCGTGTTACGCAGCACGTTTGAGCTTCAGCAAGAACCAATGAGGTTCATTCTCGTGTTACGCAGCACGTTTGAGCTTCAGCAAGAACCAATGAGGTTCATTCTCGTATTACGCAGCACGTTTGAGCTTCAACAAGAACCAATGATGTTCATTCTCGTGTTATGCAGCACGTTTGAGCTTCAGCAAGAACCAATGAGGTTCATTCTCGTATTACGCAGCACGTTTGAGCTTCAACAAGAACCAATGAGGTTCATTCTCGTATTACGCAGCACGTTTGAGCTTCAGCAAGAACCAATGAGGTTCGTTCTCGTTACGCAGCACGTTTGAGCTTCAGCAAGAACCAATGAGGTTCGTTCTCTTGTTACGCAGCACATTTGAGCTTCAGCAAGAACCAATGAGGTTCGTTCTCTTGTTACGCAGCACGTTTGAGCTTCAGCAAGAACCAATGATGTTCATTCTCGTGTTACGCAGCACGTTTGAGCTTCAGCAAGAACCAATGAGGTTCATTCTCGTATTACGCAGCACGTTTGAGCTTCAACAAGAACCAATGAGGTTCATTCTCGTATTACGCAGCACGTTTGAGCTTCAGCAAGAACCAATGAGGTTCGTTCTCGTTACGCAGCACGTTTGAGCTTCAGCAAGAACCAATGAGGTTCGTTCTCTTGTTACGCAGCACATTTGAGCTTCAGCAAGAACCAATGAGGTTCGTTCTCTTGTTACGCAGCACGTTTGAGCTTCAGCAAGAACCAATGATGTTCATTCTCGTGTTACGCAGCACGTTTGAGCTTCAGCAAGAACCAATGAGGTTCATTCTCGTATTACGCAGCACGTTTGAGCTTCAACAAGAACCAATGAGGTTCATTCTCGTATTACGCAGCACGTTTGAGCTTCAGCAAGAACCAATGAGGTTCGTTCTCGTTACGCAGCACGTTTGAGCTTCAGCAAGAACCAATGAGGTTCGTTCTCTTGTTACGCAGCTCGTTTGAGCTTCAGCAAGAACCAATGAGGTTCATTCTCGTATTACGCAGCACGTTTGAGCTTCAGCAAGAACCAATGAGGTTCATTCTCGTGTTACGCAGCACGTTTGAGCTTCAACAAGAACCAATGAGGTTCATTCTCGTATTACGCAGCACGTTTGAGCTTCAGCAAGAACCAATGAGGTTCGTTCTCGTTACGCAGCACGTTTGAGCTTCAGCAAGAACCAATGAGGTTCGTTCTCTTGTTACGCAGCACATTTGAGCTTCAGCAAGAACCAATGAGGTTCATTCTCGTATTACGTAGCTCGTTTGAGCTTCAGCAAGAACCAATGAGGTTCATTCTCGTGTTACGCAGCACGTTTGAGCTTCAGCAAGAACCAATGAGGTTCATTCTCGTATTACGTAGCTCGTTTGAGCTTCAGCAAGAACCAATGAGGTTCATTCTCGTGTTACGCAGCACGTTTGAGCTTCAGCAAGAACCAATGAGGTTCATTCTCGTGTTACGCAGCACGTTTGAGCTTCAGCAAGAACCAATGAGGTTCGTTCTCTTGTTACACAGCACATTTGAGCTTCAGCAAGAACCAATGAGGTTCATTCTCGTATTACGTAGCTCGTTTGAGCTTCAGCAAGAACCAATGAGGTTCATTCTCGTGTTACGCAGCACGTTTGAGCTTCAGCAAGAACCAATGAGGTTCATTCTCGTGTTACGCAGCACGTTTGAGCTTCAGCAAGAACCAATGAGGTTCGTTCTCTTGTTACACAGCACATTTGAGCTTCAGCAAGAACCAATGAGGTTCATTCTCGTATTACGTAGCTCGTTTGAGCTTCAGCAAGAACCAATGAGGTTCATTCTCGTGTTACGCAGCACGTTTGAGCTTCAGCAAGAACCAATGAGGATCATTCTCGTGTTACGCAGCAGGTTTGAGCTTCAGCAAGAACCAATGAGGATCATTCTCGTGTTACGCAGCACATTTGAGCTTCAGCAAGAACCAATGAGGTTCATTCTCGTATTACGTATCTCGTTTGAGCTTCAGCAAGAACCAGTGAGGTTCATTCTCGTGTTACGCAGCACGTTTGAGCTTCAGCAAGAACCAATGAGGTTCATTCTCGTGTTACGCAGCACATTTGAGCTTCAGCAAGAACCAATGAGGTTCATTCTCGTGTTACGCAGCACGTTTGAGCTTCAGCAAGAACCAATGAGGTTCATTCTCGTGTTACGCAGCACGTTTGAGCTTCAGCAAGAACCAATGAGGTTCATTCTCGTGTTACGCAGCACGTTTGAGCTTCAGCAAGAACCAATGAGGTTCATTCTCGTGTTACGCAGCACGTTTGAGCTTCAGCAAGAACCAATGAGGATCATTCTCGTGTTACGCAGCACGTTTGAGCTTCAGCAAGAACCAATGAGGTTGATTCTCGTATTACGTAGCTCGTTTGAGCTTCAGCAAGAACCAATGAGGTTCATTCTCGTATTACGTAGCTCGTTTGAGCTTCAGCAAGAACCAATGAGGTTCATTCTCGTGTTACGCAGCACGTTTGAGCTTCAGCAAGAACCAATGAGGTTCATTCTCGTGTTACGCAGCACGTTTGAGCTTCAGCAAGAACCAATGAGGTTCATTCTCGTATTACGCAGCACGTTTGAGCTTCAACAAGAACCAATGATGTTCATTCTCGTGTTATGCAGCACGTTTGAGCTTCAGCAAGAACCAATGAGGTTCATTCTCGTGTTACGCAGCACGTTTGAGCTTCAACAAGAACCAATGAGGTTCATTCTCGTATTACGCAGCACGTTTGAGCTTCAGCAAGAACCAATGAGGTTCGTTCTCGTTACGCAGCACGTTTGAGCTTCAGCAAGAACCAATGAGGTTCATTCTCGTGTTACGCAGCACGTTTGAGCTTCAGCAAGAACCAATGAGGTTCATTCTCGTGTTACGCAGCACGTTTGAGCTTCAGCAAGAACCAATGAGGTTCATTCTCGTGTTACGCAGCACGTTTGAGCTTCAGCAAGAACCAATGAGGTTCATTCTCGTATTACGCAGCACGTTTGAGCTTCAACAAGAACCAATGAGGTTCATTCTCGTGTTACGCAGCACGTTTGAGCTTCAGCAAGAACCAATGAGGTTCGTTCTCGTTACGCAGCACGTTTGAGCTTCAGCAAGAACCAATGAGGTTCGTTCTCTTGTTACGCAGCACATTTGAGCTTCAGCAAGAACCAATGAGGTTCATTCTCGTATTACGTAGCTCGTTTGAGCTTCAGCAAGAACCAATGAGGTTCATTCTCGTGTTACGCAGCACGTTTGAGCTTCAGCAAGAACCAATGAGGTTCATTCTCGTATTACGTAGCTCGTTTGAGCTTCAGCAAGAACCAATGAGGTTCATTCTCGTGTTACGCAGCACGTTTGAGCTTCAGCAAGAACCAATGAGGTTCATTCTCGTGTTACGCAGCACGTTTGAGCTTCAGCAAGAACCAATGAGGTTCGTTCTCTTGTTACACAGCACATTTGAGCTTCAGCAAGAACCAATGAGGTTCATTCTCGTATTACGTAGCTCGTTTGAGCTTCAGCAAGAACCAATGAGGTTCATTCTCGTGTTACGCAGCACGTTTGAGCTTCAGCAAGAACCAATGAGGTTCATTCTCGTGTTACGCAGCACGTTTGAGCTTCAGCAAGAACCAATGAGGTTCGTTCTCTTGTTACACAGCACATTTGAGCTTCAGCAAGAACCAATGAGGTTCATTCTCGTATTACGTAGCTCGTTTGAGCTTCAGCAAGAACCAATGAGGTTCATTCTCGTGTTACGCAGCACGTTTGAGCTTCAGCAAGAACCAATGAGGATCATTCTCGTGTTACGCAGCAGGTTTGAGCTTCAGCAAGAACCAATGAGGATCATTCTCGTGTTACGCAGCACATTTGAGCTTCAGCAAGAACCAATGAGGTTCATTCTCGTATTACGTATCTCGTTTGAGCTTCAGCAAGAACCAGTGAGGTTCATTCTCGTGTTACGCAGCACGTTTGAGCTTCAGCAAGAACCAATGAGGTTCATTCTCGTGTTACGCAGCACATTTGAGCTTCAGCAAGAACCAATGAGGTTCATTCTCGTGTTACGCAGCACGTTTGAGCTTCAGCAAGAACCAATGAGGTTCATTCTCGTGTTACGCAGCACGTTTGAGCTTCAGCAAGAACCAATGAGGTTCATTCTCGTGTTACGCAGCACGTTTGAGCTTCAGCAAGAACCAATGAGGTTCATTCTCGTGTTACGCAGCACGTTTGAGCTTCAGCAAGAACCAATGAGGATCATTCTCGTGTTACGCAG